GTGTGTGTGTGTGTGTGTGTGTGTGTGTGTGTGTGTGTGTGTGTAATTGGGACCGGGGCAGGGAGCTCTGGTATGCACATGTGTGTGCCAGCTTTGGGGTCTGACACACTGGGGGTCCAGACTTTTTTTTTCTTTTTTGAAAGGGGAAACTCCACTATAAACACACACAAACACACACTTTCAGCCTCACATCCACAACCCGCTCAGGGTATAACCTGGAGAAAGTCACCTCCTAACAGTTCTGCAAAGCATCAAAAAAAGGTAAGAAAGCAGATCAAACTATTTCCACATGCAAAAAATTAAATAAATAAATAAAACATTGCATATGATCGATATTTTTTTTGTTTTTTGCCAGAAATTAAGTGGAATAAGAGCACGAAAGGACAAACAGTTACAGCCTATCACAAAAACACAACTCTGCTGTAATGCAGTATTTTGCTGAAAAACCTTTTAAAAAGTGAAAATGCTTAAATGAGTGATTAAGGAGTAAATATGCACTGTAAAGAATAACATTCAGTGATGTCATAATCTATCGAAGAGGGCGGGAAACGAATCTAAATCTGAAAGTCTTTAAAAAATAATTTGGTTGCAGGAAAACTTTCTTTTTCTGTTTTAAAGTCGACAAATCATGCTCTTAAATCTTTCTTTTTCACATTTAAATCATTCAGGTGGGGTCTGTATAAAGTGCACTGTTCCCACACCTTGGTCAACATCAAATTCAAGGACCTTTCAAGGACTTTCCAGTACCAATTTCCTCAAATTCACGCACCACGCGCAACAGCAATTACCTACTGCTAGGACGTTACCAATACACAGGTTTAATATCATGTAAATTCAATGAAAAAAATGAACATATGTGTTGTTGAGCCAGAATCAATGAAAGAAAGTGGATTAAATGTACACCCTACATTCATATCCACAATACATGGACATGTAATTATATTAGAGATTCAGCAGCTCAGTTTGGGAGGAGGGGATGTCCAGATGCTTGGTGAGGACAGGAGGAGCTGTGGTGCTCTCACCTGGGCTCAGAAAGAATGACCCGCCCCACTCTGCTCTGATTGGGTAAAACTATGACTATGGCTCACGTTATTTGTTGAAAGCCACGTCAGTTTACCATAATCCTGAGTTATCCACTACAGAAATGTTTTTTTTTTTACAGATGTTAAAAATCAGTTGTGTGAATAGAGAACTTCAATCCCCMAAAAACATTCAAGGACTTTCAAGGACAAGTGTAATTTTTGGCTGTTTTCACAAACTTTCCAGGGCCTTGAAATCATTTTTTCAAATTCACAAACTTTCAAGGATTTCAAGGACCCGTGGGAACCCTGAAAGTGGAACTGTAATGCTGTAGTCTGAATTCCTCCTTATTGTAACTCCACAAGCCCCTCTTTCACCTCTTATGAAATATATCTCAGATCAACTCATTTTGATGCTGTCTCTTTAAATCCACCACAATCTGAGTTTCTGCAATAACTTGACTTTCATTAAGGCCATAAACTTGAAAACAACACATGATCAAGATTTATCCAGATTTTTTTTTTTTTGTATCTTTTGATGATATTATGGACTGTACATGATGATGAGTTTTTCATCAAATTGAGGACATCTATCACAGAAATCTATCAAAACACAAAAAAACAGGTACAAGCACTATCCTTTTTGTACTAGTTTGACTGTGATTGTGTGTGTGCATGTGTGTATAAACTGACCTCATCATCCTTGTACCAGGACAGGGACTCTGCAGTGAGGACGAACCAGTACTCCTTGGCTCCTCCCTTCATGATGCCGATGTTGTTGATGGTCAACCAGCCCTTCCTGATCACCTGAGCAACAGACAAACGCACAAACGCTAACATAAATAACGGATTATACTTAATATATAATCAGCTGCAGATAAAGTTCAACAAATCTGATTCTAGTGGAGATAAGAAGCTGTCAAATCTCTCAGCCACATGACCAGACACACATCAGTCGTCTCATCCTCTCCTCAGCACAGACTCTTTAAGCGTGTTGTTGTGTGCAAGTTATTTACCTTGTACCGGTCACTAACTCCTCTCTCCGGCTGGATGAGAACGTGGAGAAAATGTTACAAAGCTCTGCCTTCGCAAAGGCCAAAAACATCAAAGTCGCTGCTCAACTATCAGCAGATTAATGCTGCTGCTGGAGGGGGGGGAGGAGGGGCTGCAGGACAGCAGGCAGGGCGAGGCTGAGGGAGGCTGGGATGCTCCAACCCATGGTTTATGGCAAATATTTTAGAATCATGCCACGAGATGCAGGTGAAAGTGTTCAGTTCCATTTTGTTCTAAGGGTGTCTATTAATAATTCCCTCTACAAATTCTTTTTTTATTGTATAGCAATGACAAAATGGTTTAAATGTTGTTTGTTTACAAAGAAAAGTCTCAACATTCTTTTTTTTTTAAATCTCACAATGTTACAGGTTGTTTTTTCCCAGTTCCAGAAAATTATGTCAGGAACAGGAAGTCACAGCAGGTCTTATCACACATTTTTTAAATGGGGGTAAATATCTTTTATACTTTAAGACTGCAATGCACTTTTTATTATTATTCTCTGAACAACAAATATTTTAATTTAAAATTAGTTTAAGAATAAGTTTCCATGTTACCAGTTTTCTTTAAACATATTTCAGGTTGTATAGAATTTGTAAACAGTCAGACTACTCTTTGATGTTTCCCAGTTTTAGTGGGAGAACTAATCATGTGCTGCATTATGGACAGTTTTATGTTTTTAACTTGATTTTAATAATTAGTTGAAACCACACTTGCCTCACTGTTATACTGTTTATAATCAGAAAATCATCTTTAAAGTACGCATGAGATGCATTTATCATGAGAAGGTTTTGGAACTGAAATAAAACATTTTCTAATCATTTGAACCAAACCTGGCTGCACCTATTATGATAAAGCTACACAATAAGCCCAGATGAATTCAGAAACAAATAGATGCTTTAGTTTGTTTTGTTTTTCCTCCACTCTGTACATTTTTTGTTGTTTTGTGTTTTCAAGTTCCTGGACTTGAAGGTGCTGAATGAGAAAAACAGAAGCTGCGAGCTCTTAAAGGGCCAACAGCATCCATTTTTAAACAGGAAGTGAAGTTCACCCCTGTGTTTACCATGTGCCTCTAACCTTTGGCCACTAATCACGGCGGTTGTTATGACCCCCTGAAAACGAAGGGGGTGTGCCATATGTCAGACACACTGCAGGTTTTGTACCTCTTTGTGTTATTTTGAGGAGGGGAACAAAAGAAAGGCAGAGGCCTGGATTGTTAAAGTTAAAATTACATTTTTCAAGCTCAGGAGGATAATATTCATTTCTAAACTGAGCCTTTTACACCACACAAGAAGATTGTTTAACAGGGGAAAATATTCTGATTGTTGTCCTGCAGGCAGATTTGTGCAAAATAGCTATCTGCAGCATGGAGTAATCTTCTGTACAAGTGTGTGTATTTGTGCCTGAAGGGTGAGAAAAGAGTGGAAAGGAAAGCAGCCAAGCATCTCTTTCTACAGCCACCTGCCAGCTAAAAGCAGTTTCTAAGAAACTTAACATTTATGATACACAAAGTCATGTATTCACTCCCAGTTAAAAAAAATCACCTCATACATCGAACACACACACAAACACACACAGACACACACCAATATCCGCGGAAAAACATGAGCTCATAGATATGAAAGCGTACTTGCAGACATGCAACTTTAAAACACACTCCCACTACTCACCATGATTTCATCCTGAAGCAAAAATATATAATTAAATAAATAAATAAATGAAATAAAAAACATAGAGGTTGATAAAGAGAGAGAAAAAAGAGAAAAAGTAAAAAAATAACAATCAGAAAGTTTGCAGAAAGAGTTAAAACAATATGCGCAAACAGACGAAGCATCTACAGAGCGGGCAGAAAAATGCACTTATAAAGAGTGAAAATCATGCAAATGTTGTTCCTAATTAATAAATGTATTGTTTTAAAACGTTGTGATGCATAGATGGTTATTGATTTAACAAAAAAAGCCACTTTGGAGGGACGTAGGCAGAATAGTTTTTGTAGAAATCTTCTACAAACCTTTTAAAGGAAAGCATCTTTGTTTAAACTCAAAGACTTTTTTTAAATCCTAATTTTACCATCACGTGACACAGCTTGAGATCTAGTCCTCACACAAACCCATTTCTGAAAATGTTGGACCCCAGAAGCAATAATGCACCCCTGATATTTCCCAACATATTTCAGTCACGCTGACACCGCTGTGGCTTTCACCAAAAGGCTCGTTTAAATTTTTTTATGATCGCACAGCTTTTGTGCATTGGAGTGCTGTATAAACTGCAACAAGATTGCATTGCATTGTATTGTTGCTCCTGGAAACAAAATACTTGAAGCTGGGCCACATTTCACATGAGCAGAGCTGGGCGCTGACAGGAATGAGCCTTTGGGGGAAAAAACGGCATTAAGACGTCGAGTCACCGTCCAACTGAGCAGACACATTTAAATGAGTTCAAAGAGAGGGGATGTCTCTGAGGGGAGCACCTGATTCCCAGTCGTCTTCTTCTTGTTCATCTGGTTGATCCTCTGCTGAGCGCTGCACAGCAAACAGAGCGTCAGAGAACACAGGCCAGCTGACTTTTAGCGTTTTTCTTTTTTAGCACAAAAACTCACTTGGCAAATCCGATGAAGTCTTCATGGTTGGTGTTCATGTAGGACAGCTCAATGTCAATCAACAGCAACACCTGGACAGAAGACACGGATGAATGAATGGGCCAAAAACCGTTCTTACAACCAGATTTGTTTTTGAGCTGTGCGTACGAGTGATTTAGGACAGGGGTTCTCTAACCTTTTGGGTCTGGGGACCCCTTACAATGGCGAAAAAAGTCCAGGGACCCCCTCTTAAACCCCATGCTGTTTTAAAAGATAATTTATTGTCATTTCAACCTCTAAATGCCATAGAAATATATATTTTTATTTAGTTTATTATGTTTGTTTTATTAGTTCATTGTTCTTCATGCATTTTTAAAAATAAAAACCAAATTAACAATTTAGTGAAATTTTTTGATAACCCCCAAGATACCTTTTGCGGACCCCTGGGGGGTCCTGGGACCCCAGTTTGAGAACCTCTGATTTAGAACTTATGGCATTCACCAATTTTCTTATATATTAAAACTTTTTTCGGATACAAGAAAAAAATCATGAGTGGTCCAGACCTGTCGTATATTTTACGTGCAGTCAGTCTGCTGTTCTCCAGGTGGATTTTCTTCACTAATAACTTTATATTTCATTAGTTTGAAGATATTCTGAGTTGAAAATAAATCACACTCCATAATCATGTTGACAGTAGGCTATTTTGTTTGAATTAAAATGATCATTTTAAATGTATTAATGTATACTAACGACTTAATTTAAGTAGGTTATTAATAATTTTAACACTACAATATTAATATGAAGATCTCAAACTACAAACCAACCTAAACTATGCATTAATTGAAGTTTAATTTGTCTTGGTACATTTTAAATCTTTTAAACTAAATAATCAGGGAAATTATTTGTGTTTTGTAAGCAGAGACACAAACCTGAGACATGAATGTTAAAACTTACATATAAACCAGAGCCATTCTTTTATTTATTAATTATTCCTTCAACACAGTATTCTAGTTTGCAGTGTAAAGAACTTAAAGCAGCTTTAATATAAAAGGCCAGCAAATATATTATAATATTATAGTATTATTAATATAGTAATGATTATCTTCATTCAGGTATTAAGTCCAACTTTTATTTGGTTCTTCAGAACCTGTGGTTTTTATTTGCCTTTTGTGTTTTATTATTAGGTTTATTCATGTTGTGTGATTCTTGTGTTTCCTCTGTGCAGCTCTTCAGTCAGCTTCAGCTCCGCCCACTCTCACCTGTCCCCAGTCTTCATCTAGTCCAGGTGTCTCTAAACTGCTCTCTCTCATTCCTCAATCATTATTAGCTTCCAAGTGAAGCCTCCTTGTCTTCCTCTGTGAATGTTTCTTGTAAGTCTGCCTTGACAGGTTATTTTTCTTAGCATTTGTTTTACTAAATAAAGTTTTGAGTTGTTCCTTTGAGCTGCTTATCTGTATTTTTAGCCTCCTGGTAAAGTGTGACGGGTGCGTGCTATTCCAAAAATAACTGAGTTACACTTTGTTAAATTTTTTTCATTTCACATCAAAAAGGAAGGATGTTTATCGTAAACTGACCTGATTTACACGTGAAAGCACAATTAATCACCCTCATGCAAGAACATGTTCGTATTCTTATCCTAAATTTCTTACTTTTGTTCGTACAAAACAAAGGGTTCGTACAAACATGACACGCCAGATTCAACAAACTCTTCTATCTTCAGGAAAAGTGTGTAAACGAGCTGCGTAAATTCCACCTGTTCGTATCCAGCTGCTCGTGCACGAGGAGAGGTTATTTACATAATTACCACCCCAAAAACACCATATAAGGCTATGTTTCCTGCCTCACATACCAGGAAGTGTTCATTCATAAACGACATCGCAAAGTAAAAAAGAAGAACTTCACGAGTTCGGAGATTGAAGTCCTGCTCTCTGAGATCGAGAAAAGAAAATCTGTTCTCTTTAGCAGCGTCAGCTGTGGAATTAAAGGAGCTGCTTAAAGGAATGAAATGTGCTGTTAATGTCGTGTCTCCTGTGGGTCGTTACAGTCACAGAAATAAAAATATAAATCATATTCATCTCTCTCTAGTCCAGCTCCGGTTTTTCTTTGGTCAAGTATTTTAATTTTTCACCTGTATTACTGTGTTTACATTTATTCAGAAGAAGGGTGGTTGTGCACCGATTTTCATATTAACATTGTAGTGTTATACAACAGCATTAAAAGACAGTTTAACTTAATCTAATCAATTTATGTCATTAAAATCTAATTCCAGTTCAAACAGAATAAACTATTGTCAACATATGATTTATTTTCAACTCGAAATATTTTCAAACTAATGAAATATAAAGTTCTTAGTGAAGAAAACCCGTCTGGATAACAGCAGACTGACTGCTCGTAAAATATACGGCAGGTCTGGACCACTCGTGAATTTTGTTCGAATCTGAAAAAAATCGTAGAATACGAAAACATTGGTGAATGCCACAAATTCTCCTAAATCACTCAAACGCACAACTTAAGAACAAATCTGTGCGTACGAACGGTTCTTGCATGAGGCCCAATGTGACTGTTGTATTTCCTGAAGTCAGTCTTGCATTTGTTAGGGTCAGGACACGATGTCCATTCTGTCGACTTCACCCAGGTGCAGTTCTCAGCTGCGAGAGCACAAGTCGTGCAAAAACAAATCTCGTGCTTTGTAGTGCGCAGGTGAAATCTGGGTCGAAGTGAATTTCCTGGGCGTTCTAGCAGCAACGTTTTCATGTCAACCTAAAAAATGGAGGCGTAACGAGAGGAATACCTGATCTTTCGTGCGACTTTCTCTGTCTCTGATGTGCTGAGTCACAATTCTCTCCATCTCTTCTCTCAGCATGGGGTACTGAGCCAGCTGGAAGCACAGAAAGCAGCAGGTAGGTAGCATAAACACACACGCAGACACCAACACACACACTGAATTCCTCATCTCACTGCACAACAAATGATACAACGAAACACAGAAAAACGTTTAAAAGCGTTGCGTTCTTGGGGACGTTTGGGTAAATCCCTGACTCAGCTCTATTCCCCGCACAGCCAGAGCAGCAGGTGGATTTTTTAATTGAAAAATTTAGATTTCATATTTCAATTTGTCTATTTGTTGCCCACTATGCACAGAAACAGAGCTGAGTCGGGGATATTACCAAACGAACAGAGAATAACCAGAGCTGCTGGCAGAAAAGCCTCATTTCCTAGCACACTGCGAGTCTTTTTCCATGAGCTCATTGCAAACCCACAGACACTGGTGGGCCTCCAATGTGACAGTGTGAGGGTTAAAAAAAATCAAAAAATGAAAAACCCCAAAAATCACAATGCACAGAAAGATAAATGTTTGCTGTTTCCGCGCAAGTTACAATGCATCTTTCATGTCTGTCTGATGGGGGGTTATTTGGGTGGGAGGCCGGTATCAATGAAGCGTTTTTTTTTTTTTTTTTTTTTTGGTTTGATTTATTGCTTCCTGGGTCCAATTACAGAGCAGATGATGCTGGAAAGAAAGAGTCAGAATATCCAGATGAATGGCGCTAAAAGTCCTGGCATTAAAGGTCAAACTTACAACCTTTTAAAGGGTTTGAAACAGATGAGTGACCAAGGTTTTAAAGGCAGGTCAGTCATGCTTTCCTGCTCTTCACATGTTGCAGCTGTGTGCAAAGACTCAAACAAAAACTAATGCATGAATATTTGAGGTTTTCTCTGCTGTTCTTCTTCTTCTTCTTTTTTTTTCCTCTTGGGGAGATTTATTTTTCTTACCCAAACTGGAGGTTCAAGGATAAACCATGCCGTGCAGCAACACAGATTGTAAAGTTGACTGAGGATGAGCTGTAATTTGTTCAACAGGGCTGGCTTCATCCAGACGACAGCAGTAAATAACGTCAACGCTGTCTCGTTACAAATGGAAACCCAGCAGATGAGGCGCATCGGACGGTTCTCCAAACTTGCAAATTTAGAATATTTGCAAAAACCACAAAATTATCTTGAAAAAAAGTCTAGCATTTCTGTAAAAATACATGTTCATATTGCCCACCCACTTTTTATGACAAATGTTTAAACTAAGGTCAGCTTAAGATGACGATGAATGGAGATAAAACTGTTTTGGTCAAACCTTGTAAAAAACATTCGTAACTTTACATGATATTTCAATATACTGATCAAAATTTTAAGACCAGTCAAAAAAGTGCAAGAATTTGCATTTTGCACTATTGGATCTTAAGAAGGTTCTAAGTAGAGCTTCACAATGTTAAAAGAAGAAATCAGTGCAAGAGACAAGAACTTTTGAGCAGGGAATTGTCTGAAAACTGCATTTACACTCAAACATGATTTTTTCAGCTGATCAAAAGTTTAAGCCCATAGTCTTTAAAAACCAAAAGCTGTGCAAAAATCTGGATTCCATGTCATTTTCTGTCAAGTCTTTACACTGTCAAGACCTCCTGATGGCAAAAGTAAAAAAGCTCGCTGACTGAACGTGGTAGGATTGTTGAGCTGCATTAGCAAGGCCTCTCACAACGTGCCATCACTGCTGAAGTTGGACGCAGTAAGACAGTCATTTTGCATTTTTAAATGATCCTGAGGGTTATGGAACAAAAAACTCAAGTGGTAGACCCAAAAAAATTTCACCAGCTCTGAGCCGCAGGATCCGATTGGCTGTCCGTCAAGACACGGGACGACCCTCTACCCAAATTAAGGCCATTACTGGTGCTGACTGCAGCCCATTAACCATCAGACGGCATCTGTGAGAGAAGGGCTTCAGAAACAAAAAACGTCTTCAAAGGCCACGTCTTCTTCAACGCCACAAAATTGCCCGTTTGGACTTTGCAAGGGTGCACCAAACATGGGACATTGAAAGGTGGAAGAAAGTTGTCTTCTCTGATGAGAAAAAATTTAACCTTGATGGTCCTGATGGCTTCCAACGTTACTGGCATGACAAGGAGATCCCACCTGAGATGTTTTCTATACGGCACAGTGGTGGGGGCGCCATCATGATTTGGGGTGCGTTTTCCTTCAATGGAACAATGGAGCTTCAGGTTGTGCAGGGGCGTCAAACAGCAGCTGGCTACGTGGAGATGTTGCAGCGGACATCCCTCATGACTGAGGGCCCTCATCTGTGAGGTAATGATTGGGTTTTTCAACAGGACAATGCTGCAGTTCACAATCCCACCTGACAAAGGAGTTCTTCCAAGAGAATAACATCACTCTTTTGGACCATCCTGCATGTTCCCCGGATCTAAACCCAACTGAGAACATTTGGGGATGGATGGCAAGGGAAGTTTACAAAAATGGACATCAGTTCCAGACAGTGGATGCCCTTCGTGAAGCCATCTTCAACACTTGGAGCAACGTTCCCACTAGCCTCCTGGAAACACTGGCATCAAGCATGCCTAAACCATTGTTTGAAGTCATCAACAAGAATGGTGGAGCTACTCATTACTGAGTCCTTTTATTGACACTTTTCTGTTTTGGGGGTTTTCAGGTTTTTTGAGCTATGGTCTTAAAGTTTTGATCAGCTGAAAAAAATCATGTTTGAGTGTAAATGCAGTTTTCAGACAATTCCCTGCTCAAAAGCTCTTGTCTCTTGCACTGATTTCTTCTTTTAACATTGTGAAGCTCTACTTAGAACCTTCTTAAGATCCAATAGTGCAAAATGCAAATTCTTGCACTTTTTTGACTGGTCTTAAGATTTTTATCAGGAGTGTATGATAGGTCTCAAAGTATGTGTTGTGAATGACTCTCAGCCACAACTACATCAAGCTTTAACAAATTCACTCTAACATAAACTGAGTTATGGTCATTTTTATGTTTCATAAGTTCAGTTGAATGTGACAGCCAATTCGAATTGTGATTCCAAAAGCTGATCAGCTGTAAAAGTTCATGTAAACATTATTTCCTGAAAGTTTCATTAAAATCCATCCAGAGGTTCACAACACATTTTGCTAACAGACAAACAAAGTTGACTGCAAATAGTTACATGCAAAATTTAAAACAATGACTTTGTGCAATCTGTTTGTGCTCAAAATATGTGCTGGGGATCAGTCTCAGCTACTAACTCTCCAAATTTTACATCAGTATCTATGAAACTGACTGATTTTTAGCCATCATTGTGTTTGCTATGCTTGTTTTGCTGAGACAGCCATCTTGGATTGAATTGACAGGGCAAAAGAACATTAAACGCTCCACCTTCATCTTCAGGCAATAATAAAAGTTAAACAGATTTTAAATAAAAACAATAAAAACTAAAATAATCTGCAGGACCTGAACGATGCATTGCAACTTGGACACGGAGACGGGATGTCATAATTCCTGTGAGCTCAGTGTTTTTACAAACTGCCGCAGAAACACATCGCTGACTGACAGTGGAGGAAACGGATCAGCATTTTTAATTTGACTACAAGCATCGGGAGGAAGGATTCAGAAATTCAGACTGACATGCAATGCAAACAGCCAGGACAGGTGGGGGACTGGGGTGGGGGTGACAGACAAGGGGGAAGACTTTAAACTGACCCCTCTGTGGATTTTCCCCAAACCCTGCTTTCTATCTTACAGTATCTTTTTAAGTACAGCACATCTCTGAAAATCAAAATCAGGACTAAAGAGTGGCAGAGCTGAGAAATCCAAAAGTGGTCAAAGCTGGAATAAATGTGCAGAGGATGACAGGGACGGAGAGGGGGAAAGAG